TTTTTTTTTTTTTTTTTTTTTTGGTTTAAAATCGAAGATATTACACTTTGCTCGAGGCTATTTTCTTTCTTACCACGTATTCACATTATTTTTAAATACGCCTGGACAAAGAAAAGTGAGTTTGCAAATTGAAGACAAACAGCGGAGCAAAGTAAACGTGAAACAAAGAAAAAGATCCAACGTCCCTGACTTCTTAATTTTGAACAAACCGTTGTACAATTCCTCGTGAAATATCTTTTAGATCTGAATGCTTTTAAATGCATCGTTTTAATTAAGTGAATAACTCTCGCGACTTTAGACTCTTTTATAAATTCTCACTCATGACCGAGAATGTTCTTTCATTTTAACACTCATCATTTTCAATTATCCAACTAAATAAACTAGGATTCTTTGCGAAGCAATATCACGGACGGTTCACTAATAAAATATCATGCTCGATTGTCAGAGTGGTCAAGGTGATTTAGTCCTAATCTTCCACAGAAATTTCTACAAATCATTTGTGAATTTTTAGAGATTCGAACAATTTTCGTTTATAAATTGAAGCACGTGTTACAATTATAGATCTTCGTCCGTTTTATAGACTCTAATTTCTATAATAATAATACAAGTTCTTGAGAGAATATTTCTTTCTGTCTTGTTCCTTCCTTCGTTTTCGTTGAAATTCCTACGTTAACACTTTCCGGGTAAATATTGAAATAACAGTCACATGTAAGGAATATTATTTTCATATACTTGTTATACAAATAATATGTGTTATAATTTCTGTTATTGATTTCAGACTTTCGTTTCTTGCCAAATTTGATATTAACTTCTGCCTGGACAGATTGAGGCACGATTGCATAGATCTATTTATTTTAATCATCATTTAAATTATAGTGATTTATACGTAGAATATTTTGATACAGTTTGTTCCAGTGTCAATAAATATTTACATTCAATCATTTACGTTAATATTTTTGACAACCAAGATCAAGTATCTACACACGTATATGCAACGCCCGTCGTGAAAGTGTTAAAGAGATTCGCTCGCAACGAGCGGCGAACTTGAACTGAGACGATCTTCTGCTTACCTCGACGGTGTTGATCCTCATAGCTGGTACTTGACCAGGCACTGGAGGTGGCGGCGGCGGTGGAGGAGGCGCGGGACAAAGTCCTGGAACGATTAGCGATTTAGTGGAATTGCTAACGAGAGGGACCATCACACGTTCTCGTATCTTTCGCCGGAAAACTCCGTGGCCGATTTAATCGGCAAACTTGCCACCGTCGTAACCTCATCCCTTAAAACTTGCTCAAAACGATTTCGTTTCGCCATTTTGTTGAATTTCGAATATTAGAGAATCTGAGAAATCTCGAACACTTCGTCGTCTAATTTTAATGAACAAAGTTGAATAAAATGGTGAAAAAAGAAATTGTACAGCAAGTTTTGAGAGGTTGTTGCGAAAAGAAAATTTAATCTTCAAGGTCGTGATAGACCCAGTTATGAAAAAAATTTGTTCAATGTTGCCAGTGAGGTTCGAATTTTTACAATTTTCGAGATTAAAAGTATTTTTACTTTCTCATATCGTTACGTGATGTAAAAACAGTTTAAAGAAATAAACGAACTCAGGTTCTCCGCTTTGAGATGAGACCAAGTGGATTATTATATGATCTTTTTTACGAAGTTAAAAAAAAAAAATAGTTCAAAATATCGACAATCTGTCATTGTTAGTAGTACACTTATGCTTTCTCACGCTGAATTTGTAAACCTCGAGGCGAAGGATCTAATAGCACAGCTCGAACTTTCTGTATGCTGATATCACGAGACAGCAGTTATTATTTGCATACGTCGCATCTTCTTCTTCGTTACAGCAGTTTTATGAGTACTCGAGTCTGCGAATTATTTTAGTTGAACGCTGACATACGTATGTAAATACATACCTGTTACTAGACCGTCCGAATTCCTGAAAAAGGAAAAAGACATAATCACTTAAGAGGACGTAGTTATCAATGTATCAACCCTTTGTAATTTCATAGTGTTTTATCTCGAAGAAATAATTTACCTTGTGAAACAAATTCACCGAAATAATAAATTCTTTGAAATAACCTTTTCAGGTAAATTTTCCAATGAAATTGTTCGTGCAATTGCAAAGGGTTGACAAAATTTAAAAAATGATGAAAATAACACAATATTTTCTACTGGTTTTGTATTAAAAATATTTAACTAACTATTTCAAGAAATATAGTTATTCGTCCAAGAATCACTCGATACTATACATATATCTACATACTCTGTTATAAAATTTATTCTTAAAAAACAAAATGATTTTATCATACATACAGTTGTTATTGTAATACTACAACTTTATGAAATTTCCAAAACTAGGAAGAACTATCATTGAACAGATATAGGCAATAGCAAGCCATAAACTTCACCATATCGAAACATCGAATGTAATTTTAATCAAGGCAGTAGGATTGCTGGTTATAGAAATCGGCTGCGTAAAATACAAATCAATTAATACATGTTTCAGTAATAACGTTATAATGATATATATATATATATACATATAAAAAAAAAGAAATAGACATGACGCGTGTGTTGACAAAATAGTGATTAGATACATGTTCATTGAACGTGTAATGACTTAATTTAGATGATGAGTATCAGAGACGTTCACGTGGTCGAGAGTACTATTTAAAAGTCATTTTCAAACGAAGATTGACATTGACACTCGCAGATTAATTCGCCGATCGTAATTAAAGTCAATGTTAGGAACGAAAAGGTCAAAGAAGAATTTCCAAGCAAAAGCAGTCGTGACGAATGATTTTAAACATTCATCGGCGGGCAGGCCTGTTTTTTTCACGTTACGTATGTAAGTTTAGATCGTTTATCTCCAAGCTTGACGTTTCATTATTTGAAACTCTTAGAAAAATCGAGAAAAATTCGGACACCTTGGAGTAATTTTAGCTTATTATTAACGTTCATTCGTTCGTAAAATGCAAAACATTTAACTTTGAA